GGATTTAATTTCTATGTTCATCTGATTATATAGTAAAAGGATGGGAATTTTTGTTTTAACTCACTGAAATCTAATATTCATTTACACCTTCACCATTGGAAAGTTTATGGAGGCTTCTCAATCTATCCTCTGTCTTAGGCGATTCATCTTTGTTTAAGTTTAGGGCTATTCAAATTGATGTACTAGGAATTTGTCTGGTCTTGTAGAGAAGCAAGTACTAGCATAATTTTTATTTGTATCTCTTTATAAGATTTGCTACTGTTTTCTTAAATTTCTATATTCTGTGGGGTATGTAGCCTCTAATATATTATGTGATTATTTCGGTTTATTTACGAGGAAAATTCATTCATTTGTTTTTTATTCATTCCTAAGTGTGTTCATATTGATACATGTATATTACCATGCTATGTTGATTCGTACATCATTTTGGTGATGTTGGGAAAGACGTACGACTATTTGTTTCTGTCCATGGGTTTCTTTGCTTAAATAGATGACCTGTCAACATGTTGGTTTCCAATTTGGAGAATTTATACCCTTCTTTTAAATTTTAGGTTCTGTGATTTTGGGGGAAAATAGAAAGAAACTTGATTTGGGTTGTATAATTTGGATCATTGGTTACAAATAACAGCAAATTTTTGTTTTTCCTAGCTTAAGTTTTACAGTATTTAGAATTTGTGATTGTTCCTTTTAATAAATCAAATGAAGGCAGAAATTCTTTATTTTGGATTTAATTTCTGTAATTTATATGTTCATTATGTGTGATTGCGGTAATAGAACAAGATAGAGCCCATAAAGAGAAAGGAAGTGAGAAAACAAGGGCCTAGAAAGATAAATGGATATATTGATGGATATCAATCAGTAGAAATAGGTCTTCTGAAATTCATGATCCATAAAAAAAAATGAGTAACACCAAGAGATAGGGTTCGTAGAGGAAAAGGAAATGAGAAGGGGGAGGAGTAGGAAAATTTTCGAAATCATTAAAGTCAAATGAGATTGTTGTGGAAAATTTTCTATATTAAAACATACCTTTAATAAGACATAAATTTTGTGATAGAAATTCAAAAAAACACGTGGATTGAAAAGAGAAGAGCTTAAATGAGATATCTGTGTAGATAGCAGTGTGTTTTAGTGAAGGGGGGAGGAAAGGAAAGTGGTACACTAATGGAGGGAGCAAGTAGGTAGAGACTTACTAAAAACTACAAATTCATAAAATATGAGTGAGGTCAAATAGATAGAGAGTGAAAAATGAGGGATTAGAATTGAATTAATAGATAAATTGATGGCTAAAATGTAGGAAGAAGCCTTTCAATATTTACAATTCGTACAAATGAGTAACAAAAGGTGATATATCCCATATATGAAAAGGACGTGAGGAGGGAGGAGGGGAAGAGAGAAAGGAATGTGGTACACTAGGGAAAGGGGGAAAAAAATCCAAAAACCGTAAAATATGAGTAAGGTAAAATAGAAAAGCAGTGAGAAATAAGGGCATGGAAAGATTAATAAATAAATGTTGTATATCAAGTAGAAAGAGACCTTTTAAAATTCACAATGCGTAAAAGTGAGTAACAATTAACAAAAGCCAACAGGAGATACATCCCATAGAGGAATAGGAAGTGAGAAAACTAGGGCTTGGAAAGATAAATAGATAGATTAATGGATATCAAGTAGAAAGAGACCTTCTAAAATTCACGATCCATAAAAAAAATGTGTAAAGCATGGAGGTAGAGCCTATAGGGGGAAAGGAAATGAGAAGGGAGTGATGGGGCCATGGGGGTGTGGAAGGAGTAGCAAGTAGTGTAATACTTTCTAAATTTGCAAAATCAATTGGGAGCTCATTGGATGATTTTGGGGGGAGAAGAAAAGTAAAATGGTACGCTGAGGAAGGGAGCAAGTAGGTAGAGACTTACTAAAAAATTACAAAAATCATAAAATAAAAGTGAGGTAAAATAGAAAGGGAGTGAGAAAATGAGGACTTGGAAAGATTAATATACTACGTATAAATTGATAGATAGCAAGTAGGAAGAGACCATATTCACAGTTCATAAAAATGTGTAACGGAAGGAGATATAGGTCATAGAGGAAAAGGAAGTGAGGAGGGGGTAGAGGGGGAGGAGAAAGTAATATGATACTTTATAAAATTTGCAAATCCATAAAAGTCTATTTAGAAGGAGATAGGTAGAGGAAGCTAGCTGTTATGGATGTTGGTTGTGGCGTTGGTAGAGTTCATTTCTTCATGGCAGAGAATTTCAACATTGATCTCATTGGCATTGATATGAGATCTCTCCACCAATATGATCTCTATTATTGTTGCGCATGTAGTTGGACACAATAGTGCAAAGGTAGCTGATTGTAAAATGATTACTTACCTAGACTATACTTTTGATGTGATCTACAGTCGTGATACCATTCTTTATATTCTTGTAATGTATGTTCATGCTTTCCAGTAATTTTTTTCCATACATCCTTGGTAACAACTTAATTTTAGCGTTATAACGGTGCTACTCTGTTTTACATTTCAGGATAAAGCTAGCTATTCACATCGTTTTATAAATAATTGAAACCCGATGGGAGAATTTTAATCATTGGTTACTGCAAGAATGCTGGTATACATACACCCATCACAACAACGCCTGAATTTGTTGCATATATTAAGCAGACTGGATGTGATCTCTATGATGTGTAGGCAAGTGTCTAGGTTTTATTCTCAGTTCCCCATCTTCGAAATCAGAATTTCTTACTATTAGCATATATACTGATGATGTATTCATTCGTTCCAAATACTTATGAGATGCAGTCGAGAAAGAAAAAGAAAGATTTGTTACAAACATTAGAGTTTGTTCATTTTGTTGAGAAATCATTAAAGAACTAATCGTTGTCGATGTCTCTGATTTGTTTTTACAAGTATTCTCAGTTATAACTTATGAATCATGTATGCATCATGTGTAATTTGACAATTATTAATAAAGGTTGAAACTTGTACACCAAATAATAGAACCAATAAATTGTAGTCTTTTACACTACTAAATTGTCTCTTCAATTCACACTACCAAATTGTTCATATAGTCTGTATTGTTTCTTGTTAAAAAAGGCTTGTGTATACATGAGAAAGATTGTATCAATTTTTAATTTAAAAAGCTAAATTCTCTGACATTAGTAAAGAAGATGTTACATTCTACATCTATAACTAAATAGTACAATGGTAAATTTTAATTTTTTAAAAAAGAAATTAGTAATTTTTAATTCGAATGTCATTTCAAATATGTAATTAGTAAAATTTAAAGTAGTAATTAATTTACATTAATGTAATTTATCACAATATTTTTAAAACAAAGAAAAAAAATTCTATAGGTATCATCAATACAATATTGTTTTGAAGGCTTTAAACAAAGATATTAGTCTCCATTTTTACTTTTATATCTTTTAAAACCATGCAAAACATACCGCCAACCAAAAAAATGCTAGCTTTTTGCTTAACAACAATCATATTGTGCCAATATTGTAAAGTCTTTAGATGAAAATAATATTTTCATGAGAATCCTCCATAGTCTAATCCAGTATTTTTTTTTTTTTTGGATTTTTTTTTTTTGGGTGTAACAACAAAATTTTAATTATCAATTCTATATAATTCTACATAAATTATAAATTCTATAATTTTGCTATATGGATAATTTCTATATAATTTTCTTAATTCAATATTTTCTATAATCCAATACAAAGCCTAGGCATTTGAATTTCATACTTCCAATTACAAAAGCACAATTTAATGTTACCCTTACGAATTTAAGAAATTGATGAAAAAAATTACAACCAAACAAAAAACACGCTGAACTATTGCGCGCGTAGCGCGCGAGAGGGCGACTAGTATATTTAAAATACGGGGCATTACAGGAGACGTCAGTTTTTTTTTTTTTTTTTTTTTTTTTTTTTTTGAAGGGGGGAGATAAAATTCATTAATAATAAGCCATACGACACTTACATAAGAGATCGTAATCGAACAATACAAAGACAAAAGAACCAATTACAAGTTCGTTTTAGTTTGTTTTGTTTTGAGTTGCCCTTTGTCAAAAAAAAAAAAAAAAATAAAAATAAATAAATACTTTCTCACTCTAGAGAATTTCTCACTCTAGTTTTAAGTCGTATCTTGTTATTTCTTCAGTTTTTTAATAATTAGGCGGTTAATGCAAGTTATGCAACAGAACTTCAAACTATATAATCCCTTCTCAACTTCAGTTTTCTGTTACTCTCTATCTAACTACCTTCACCTGAAAAACACTCTTCATTCTTCATTCTTCCTTCTATTCTTCATTCTTCTTTCTTTAACTAAAAATGGCATCTCATAAAAACCCTGAAAAACTAATAGAAATTGAACTAAGTCCAGCATTAAGTCTTAAGCAATCTGCAATGTGTTTGTGTGACCATGAGTTCAACCCCAAAGCTATGGGAAGGCTGGATATTACCGAAAGAGGTTTCGAGATTACAGTCCGAAATACGGACTCTAAAGCTGCCATGGTTCTGTTCTTCAAGTCTACGGAGATGATGAAATATCACTGCAAGAAACCCATTTTTGGGAAGTTGATTAATGTGTCACAAATGTACCCGATTGCTGCTAAAGATGATGATATACTTAACATATATCATCTTGATGGGTTGAATCAACTCACATTCTCACTCGGTAATTTCCATATTTATGTGTTTTTTTTCCTGCAATACTCTGTTTTTCGTGATATTATTTCGTATTAATCAACCCCTAATTTTCGCAATTAAGGCTTTAGTTTTGTTGATTTTAGTTGAATCTTGTGTTTAATTATATAATTTGTCGATTAAATTATGATTTGTGAATTTGTCGATAAAAGTTCCAACAATTATGATTTGTTAATTTGTGATGATAACTTTAAATGTTTCTTGATTTTTCATTTCTTGTATATTAACTTCTGAAGTATTAATTTTTTTGTAGTTGAATCTTGTGTTTAATTATATTGTTTGTCGATAAAATTTTTAATATAAAAAGTTCCAGCAGTTGTTATGATTTGTGATTTCGTGATGATAATTGTGAATGTGTCTTGATTTTTCATTTCTTGAATATTAACTAGTATTAATTTCTGGATTTATTTTGATTTTTGTGAGTATTATATTTGATGACAGTAACATGACCTCATTAGGATAAAGTACGATGTAGAATCGCTTTAGTTGGGCACAGACCTACCATTGTTCATATTGATCATAGTTTCTTATGAAATTTTAATTGCAAAACCTTACTGATGGTCTTTTCAAAAGTGCAATGAATTTTACAATTAAGGCTGAAGTTCTTACTGACAATAGTTTTAGGAGTTTCATATTATTCTAGGATAGTTTAATTAAGCATTCTCTACTTATTTCAGGGAGGGATCCAAATCAAAAATATTATGTAGAATTGTTGAGCATGGATGATAAAATTCTGAACATTCCTGACATCAAATTCCACTGTGAGGTGGTTCTCCCACATGAAACCTTTAAGAAAAAATTAAAACAGCTTGAAGATGTTGGGGTTGTTGCCTTTAGTATTGGAGAAAGATGTTTGCAGATTGTCGGAAAGAAGGGAATGACTGCAGGGCAAAGGCATCTAGCATCATTCATCATGCCTCATCTGGGAGCACTACAGAAAGCGTCTTATCTAACATCAAGTATCCAAATGAGTTTTCCTAATGAACAAGTTGCTACTATCATGCTGCGATTCTTCCTCCCAGCACTCGGGGATTTGCTGTTCATATGCAAGACAGATCAGGACTTCGAAGGGGAGAAAGAAGAGTTAATTTGTGGCTCGGATTCTGGAGGAAATGCGTTGGAAGAATTAGAGCATATAGGCACTACTGCTGGTGGCAGACTTGGAGGATATAGTGCTTTGTCTTATACTGTTTTGGAGGTTCTCCCATACAACATCGACAATGCAGTAATTACTGAATTTGAATGTACTACAAAAGACACCTCTTATTGTGCAGAAGTGACAGACAGTGAGCTCAGAAAGAGGAACAGAAATATAATGAAGGCGATCTTCAAAACATGTCTAAAGGAGGCCTTTCCGTCAATGAAACACATGACCCTGATGGTCGTTTTCATGGATCCACAAAGAGAGGTTGCTATCGAAATTTGTTGTGCAAATGCTGAAGCTGCTAGGCTGGCACGCCATGGTATGGATCAAATAACAGTTTCTAGGTGGCTATTCAACAAAGTTGGTCTTTCTTTTATTGGGAAACACTGGCTACATGCGAAGTTTTTGGTAACTGCATTCCCTTCTCTCTCTTTTTAATTTTCATTTTATCCTTTGTTTTCTTTTACCTGCTACAACATATGTGTTTTGTTGTTGTTTTCAGTTGAAGAGAGGAAACTGTCCAGTGGATGTCAGTGACAAGTTCCTGATGGCAGACCCAATAGGTTTGCTATGGAATGAAACTGATTTGTTAAATGAAGGTATGAGGGGCACGGAGGTGTTCGTTAGTCTTGTAGGCTATTTGGGGGACGTTGATGGTCTAAATTCTGTTGAATCTGTTCAGAATTTTCTTACCAATTTGGACTGGAAATCTATAAATGTAAGTCTTATATGAATATTGTTTATGCTGTTTGTTAAGTAATTTAGAAGCTACTAACAAAAATTATCACCTGCAGAATTTCAGCATTCTGGCTGCAGCTGGAAAGATTGTGGTGCCGGGGCTCGGAGACTTTGCTGAGGGGCTGGGAAACAATAAGGAGATGAAGCAAGATTTAGCTGTGTGAGCTGTCTCTTCTTGGTGCAGATTGACTATAGTGAACTTCCTAGAATGTGGAAGTAACTTTTTCATATAATAAACAAACCAAGCTGGTAGCCTTGACAGATACTGTGAAATGCTTGCTTTATTTGTGACTACAGTATAGTTACAACTTGTGAGGCATATGTAATTTCTGTTTAGTGTATGTTAAGCTGTCCTAGCGAGGGCATAGCAACATCTATCAGTAGTTAGGTTGTTATTCTCTCATCTATCCTGTATCAAATTTTGTTACTTTAGATTTGTGCTGTCCAAAGTTTCAATATCCTATGCATGCATATAGTACTTAAGAATTTCAAGAATTTCAATATATGCACTCTTTTATTTTTGGGAGGGTGGAACTTTTGACAAATAAATGTTCTTATTGAACAATATAAAATACAAGAGAAATGATATACACATTAGTAATTTCAGTAATAACTTGAATTACAGCTTTGAACAATCCTTAGTGAATGGCTTTACATATGCTCCTGCCAAAGTCATGCTCATTAGTAATCCAAATCCTGATACTTCACATTAAATGTGTGTAACTCGAGTTTTTATTGCCAATGAAAAACAATACAAAGTACAAACAATACAGATCAACGCATCTAGGAAGACCTATCTCAAGCCTCTAAGTTTCAAAGAAAGAATAAAATGCTACATACAATTCCTATCATATATGCTAGTATTTCTACATCGAACACTTGAATCTCAAATGAACTTCATCACAGAGCTTATTGGGTCTGTAAATTCTCTGCATTAGGAGTTCAGACAGCTTCATTCCTGCATCTCCATGTACAGTACACCATAGCTGAAACGTAAGCATAGCAGACTAGCTTCCAGAATTTTTTTTCCTTATGACTCATAATCCATTTGCAGAGATACTCTTAACTGTTTGCACTTTAAAAAAAAACCTAGTTTCGCCATGGTTGATAAGACGTGTTGTCTGCTGAATTGATTACTGAAGAACATATGATCACTTGTATCACACTCTCACCTTCCTTAGCACACACAGGGCGTATATCCTCACAAATTCCAAAATGTTGAGAGTCTGCTTCTTTTGTTCGGCATCATTATATCTAGGACATGTGAGCCAGCAGATCGCATCATGTTTAGGCAAGTTAAATCTTTCAACTCAAGATCTAGCCTCATACCTACTTCTTAAGTACCTCTCACATTGAATTTGCTTGAAATTCCCATTATATAAGCATTTAGTTGCCTTTTAAAGTGACCTTAGTCAAAGTGACACAGCATACACTTCATTAATACAAACTTTGACAATGTAATCTGACTTTCTGTAATCCATATATAATCTTCCACATAGTCACTGTCAGCTGTACTCTTTTTTGCACCAACATGCTCCCCTAATCTGTGTAATAGATGCTTATTGGATGATTTCCGTCAAATGGTGGTGAAATCATTTTTTTTGGTTTTTATGTGGTGTTATAATAAAAGTTTTTAATTAGGTGGTGTTATATTCTAATTTTTGAGAATTTTATGGTGTTATTTTCTAATTTTTCCCAAAATTTTTATTAAAAAAAAAAAAAAATCTAGTCTGGAAATTTTAGTGGCCAATTGGGTTAGAACAGCCAGTTTCTTTAACAATATCTTCAGAAGCAATGATAAGAATAAGGACTCTAGCATAGTAAGTTCAATAATTGTAAACCGAGAATAAAACACTTGCATCAACCAACATGAAAAATTTTAACACAAAAAATCATTCAACTGTCAAGTAATGATTCGAGTCAAATATCCATCAATATCATTAGGAGTTGCAATCCATCTAACTCAGTGATGTCCACAGAAGGCACTTGGTTCCAGAATTTTGAATATCGAAATTCAATTGTATAGGCAGGGCATATACTTGAGACTGGTGCGATAATCTTAAATAAAAAAAAACCAAACAAAACAAAGATCACAACCAATATACTAGAGAGCATATGAAGGGTGGGCAATAAAATCAGATTTAAATGTATATTTGCAATATTTTCAACAACGGTAACACACTCCCATAGAGCAAGTCAGAAAAGGCATGAATTCTACATAGTAACTAATTCTAGGGAACAAAGCTTACAAAGGTATGCATTGAAGTCTAACAGTTCCTGATGCATAAAGTTGGAAAATCGAAATGAGCTGAGGTTGACAATAGGTTCAGAGTGAGTTGTGTTAGACTTCACAATAGTTTAGAAACACCAGCAATTTTATTTATTAAAAAAAAAAAAAAAAAAAAAAAAAAAAAAAAAAAAAAAGAAGAAAAAGAAAAAGACAGCATTGGGATATCAAGATTTTTATAGAGTGCAAAGTTGTGATGCAGTTAGGGAGAGTGAAATCTAGTCCATTTAGAAGAGAAGTGAATGAGGTTTGTGTTATAGTGTACTACTTTATAGAAACCGGTATCTCAACATTGTCATTGTTAATGCTCAAGAATTCCAGCCCCAATCATTAAACAGAACCACAGCCAAACAAGATCCCAATTGATTTGAATTCAATATCCCACATCTCCCTTTAATTTCTGCAGGATGCCTGACCAATTTTGGGCTGCTTACATCTACATTCCCAAGTGGTCACAAACCAACACAAACATAACAGAGATATTAGACACTCGTACCCGACCCAACAGCAGACAGTCCAACTCCCAATATACTGGTAAAATAGACACCTAAACCCAAGCCATATGCAATTTAAAGTAGATTTGAAACTGATATCACCAATACTTTCAATCTAAACCATTATATTCCACACCCAACCAGGAACAAAACCTGATTCAACTCAATCAAGACCCTCTTTTAATCTGAGTCACTCCTGGACCAAACTGTTTATAGCCCACCCCATATCTAAACTGATCTCTTGCTGACCGGACTAAACCGTTTCCATAAACGGATGAAGTGAATTATTATTAAAGTTCACATTCAGTAGTATAGGGGATAAGGTTGATGACAGAGTCACAGAGGTGAAGTTCTACAAATTCATCCAAGGTAAATGCAAGAAGGATAGCACTTAGCAGTCATATATTCATTGGTATGGTCTGGCTAGAATCTCACAAAAGTGTTTCCATCGCTATAGATCTAAACAGTATTATGTGTTTCATATACGAAGTACAATCTATTATTGACCACAAGTCTACAATATTTAACTCCGTATATTGATGTATACAGATTTTCAATTTGCTATTATATGTCTTATGGTTTAGTAAATTAAACCCTCACTATCCAACCCTGAGTATGGGACTGAGAAACTTAGGGGCAATGGGGTTAATAGTATGGCATACGAAGATAGGAATTTAAAAGAAAGAACTTTGAAAACAGAATTTTCATTTACCGAGTTAGAAAAACTCACAGTGAAATATTATACATCTTTGCCATCTGGTGACGAAGTAAGTTGAACAAGCCTTCATTCTCAATCATATTCCAGTATTCCACTACAAGTTCTTTCAGAAGGCTATTACAAACAAAAAGCACCTACTACCAAAATTTATCACTTGCAGATTTGGCATTAGCTAATTTTATTCCTTCTGAGACTCCATTCTCCTGAGAAATTCTCTTTGAAATCTCTTGGGCACATGCTTTTATAGTTTTATATCAGGACTCGTGGTCACTTATAGCTTTCTTCAACACATTAGTACCTTCATTGACGTAGTCTAAAATGCAACAAAACGTAGCAGGAGATAATATGATGTTTGTTTACAGGGTAAACTAGAAAATGGTCAAGAAATAGCAGTAAAAAGGCTTTCAAGAGCATCTGGGCAAGGTGTAGAAGAATTCATCAACGAAGTTGAATTCATCTAAAAACTTCAGCAAATTTCAGATTTCTAATAAAGCTGTAATCAAGCGAAACAGGAACATCATTATAAAACGGAGGGAATAGTACATGTTAAAAGAAAAAATAAAACAAAAACACTCAAAATTACATTAATTATACTAGTTCGTATGTGATATATTGGCCTTGGATTCTAACACCTTATTGCAGCTAGATTGATGGGGCAGTAAGCTGTGTATCTCCTTTGTGTATCTCCTTTATCGTTAAAAATTATGTACTAATACAACGGGACAAGCGAATCGACCCAAGGATGAAAGGAAATGATCCTTTCGGTACCATCTGGTAAATTTGTGGCTTCGATCTCCCTAGCTTGTTTGGATTGTAGATCACAGCAGATGAAAACCTTTTGTAGAGCTCTTGTACGGTCAGCTATTGCTAATATGATACTGCGTCGTTCAATCTCGGAAACCCAAATTATATATTTTAGCATGATGAAAATCAACATGTTTCAATTGCCCGAGAGATGATGAAAAATTCGAGTCCAAGATATCTTCTTCTTGTTTAATACCCATATCTCCAAAGTATATGTTACGATACACAACTGTCCTTCTAAAATGGTCAATTCTGAGTCATCTTCACAGTTGGTATAGTTTATCTCTCTCTTTACCGATGGGGTATCTGGTAATACTTTGAGTGAAAAGATCGAAAACACCTTATTCCTGTAAACAACAAAGGATTCATCCAATGGAAGGAGTTGTCAGCCAAGATAAGCAGGTCGGGGGCTCATACAAATTGATTCAACTGCCATGGCGGGCTCGGTATGTTCACCCAGGCATCCGTTTTCAAACTGTATAGTAGAGCTTTTTCGACATTTCGATCATTCCTCTCCATACAAATGGCTAAAACCTTATAATCATCGATACACTGTCATAACCGAATGCAACTTCACGTTTCAAATAAATTATTCATCGGGGAATTGAGTGGTGGTATCAATCTAGTGGCTCGAGTCGCAGGGTTGTAGAGAAACAGGCCTAGATTATTGTTGTAAGCAGATTTGTAAAAGGGTTGTAATGTTATTGAATGAAAAACAAACTAGGCCATTGCATGAGCCTAAAACACCTCCCATGGTGCGAGGCTTTATGATGTCTTTCGGATAAGCAAGTTCGAAGCATGGTAATAGGGATGCTGCGATGTAGCTCTAAAAGAGTAGACTTTGGATTTCCAGCACTCGAAGAGGAAATGCGTTTCCAGGTTTGCTTTGAGGGATCGACTGCGATGCAACTTCATGAACTTTGGATCTTTGGTAAGCATATACCACGAATGAAGAGACACATGCAGATCGCAGCAGAGACCTTAGCGGGTAGCCATGAGAGTATCTCAGTGATTAGTTCAAACGGAAGGTAGCAACAATCGGTCTTCGCTTTCTTCTCCATCCTCAGTATGCTTTAATTTAAACAACTACACTACGAAATTGTTGGTGCTTAATTGCTTATATAGGGAGATAAACAAAGATCA